CTGCTGACAGCTTTTCGTGATGCTGATTGGTCGGTGGGTTCAAGGAGCCTGCACAATTGTGTCAGAGACTGCTTTAAGTACAACAATTGCACTGAAAACACTTTAGTGACATTGTAGCGATTGTATGGAAACCAAGCATTAATTTGGAGACATATCAAGGGGGGAAATAGTAGTAGTGTATATGTACAATGCATACAAATTTTATATATAAAATATCATACAGATTACTAAATTGTTAATCCCTTGTTTCAGTTTGGTAAATTAAAAGCTGGTGAAACTGTTTTAGTTACAGGTAAGAAGACATTCCTTTGATGTTACCTTTTATGATTTTTTTTGTTAGCATCTTCATTCTAGCTGTTCAATATGCTTTAAAAAATAAAGATAACGATAGTGATGATGATGATAATAATAATGATAATAATGAGGATGAAGATGATTGTTAGGATAATGATGATGATGAGAGATATTGATGTCGTTGATGATGATAGTGATGATGATGGTAATTATAGTGATGATGATGATGGTGATTATAGTGATGATGATGATGATGGTGTTGATAACAATTATATCGATGATGATAATGATAAAGTAATTTTAATGATAATGTAATCTTAAATAAATAATAATATATTTGGAAAATTCTTATGTTAAGTAATTTGAAAATATATAGTACTTCTTTGTCAATGTGTATTTTATTTAAAAAAAAATCATACAATAGAACTTATCCGGAATAATATAATTAAAAGTGATGTTTTCTTTAAAGCCATTGTAAAAATTGTTTGACTCGGTAACAGAACATTTAGAGCCATGAATAAGATACACAATGATGTTAATAATATTGAAAACCAAGATTAATAACAATGATGGTAATACAAATCTTAATAATATTAATTAATGATGATAATAAAAATAATAATAATAATTACACTAATAATAAAAATTAGCAAATTTATACTTATCATTCGGACCTTAAATGTGTTGTCTGTATGTTATTTTCTTACATTACCACTTTATATAATATTGATTAATAATAATAATAATTACAATAATGATGATATAAGTTAGCAATTTATACTTACCATTCTGACCTTTATTGTGTTGACTGTATTTTTTTTTTTGTTATATTACCACTTTAAATGCACTCTATATACTGTATTGGAATTTTTGTATTACTTGATTTACTTTATTTATGATTTATCTATAAACCATTATGATGTTATTGTTACAGTGCCTAACACCTTTTAACTATACCATTCTGACCTTAATTGTTTTGACTGTATACTATTTTATTATGTTGCCAATTTAAATGCACTCTATATATGATGGTTTATATCATTACCTGAACTTTTTTGTTTCTCTATTCAATCATTTATTGTTTGTCATATTATATTTTTAGCTTTGTCCAGTCATATTTGTTGTCCAAGAATATTGATGTATCTTGTGAACCACTTTACTCACCTTGATGAAGCCCCATTGACTGGGGCTAAAGCTTATGAAATAAAGTCTATCGTTAGTCAATAGAATTTTTCACTAATAATATATTAATAATATTAATTAAATTAAATTTTCCATTCTTAGCTGCCGCCGGAGGTACAGGGCAATTTGCTGTGAGTATTTTAAGTGGTTGCCAGGATATTTATTGTTATTGCTCTTTTAACCTACTCATTTTGAGTGATGACTACTATATAAACCAATTCATGGCAAAATGTTGTGAAATTGAAGAAAATTCTTGATTTTTACTTTCTAAGGCAAATTATCAAGATAATTATTTTTTTGTGTGTGCTACCATTTATCAAATATTATGGGAATTTATAATCAATGTATAATCAAAGAGTACATGTAATCATATACACATACGCACATACATACTCACCCACCCACAGTGCCACCTACACACAATACTGTTTGACAATTTGTTTTTCCATGATTACACTATAAATAATGTGACACACTATGTCTGACTAAAGAAAGATAATACTTCACTTTAATGTCATCACTCCTTTCCCCTTGTGAACTCTTAACCAGGATAAGCTCTTAAAACCACCCAAAATACACAAGCTATAATTATATTAGGGCTAAGTCAGACATGGACATTAGTTAATATGCAAAATAAGGCCAGTGATATATTTATTGTCTTCAGGTTAAGATTTCGTGTAAGGAGCTTAATTCCATGATAAATGACAGTAATAATTTTTTTCAGTGTGAGAAGCCAAAGGAAATTACGATAGGTAATTAACTATGACCTTTGCTTCACCTTTGCAAAAACACAGAGTAGGTTTACTGTTGAATACATTTTGTGGCAATTCAAATAGAATTATGGGGATTTATATTGGATGTAAATTTCCTTACCCAGGGGATGTGTAGCCTACAGTACGTGCAGGCAATCAGACCATAAGAAATATAAAAATAGACACACACCAAGCCAACACATGTATGTCAAAGTGAGGTTTCTATCCTTAAAAAAATCTGGTTTGGGAGGGGGAACCACCCAGCTTGGGCCTACGAGCTCAAGTCCCCCTGTCGGACAGCTTAATCTCCCCCAGAAAATATATCCTAAAGCCGCCACTGCCTACCTGGTAGAATAGTCAATCAGCTTATGAGCGGATCAGTGTAGTGCGATTGGAATATAAGGAGTGAAGAATGTTAAATTATATTAATAGTAATTTTATAGATATTATCATTATAATTATTATTATATTGTTATTTTCATAATTATTGTTTTTGCATTTTCGGTGGTCGTCGACATCATCACTGCTGCTGACATCTCATTTTCATTACCTATATTATTATTGTCATTCATTATACAAATAACAATATAGTAATCCATATAAGGAGATTTTGTACATTTTTTGAAATAAATAATTATGTTTATTATTGTAACCTACAGGTTCAGTTAGCAAAGGCAGCTGGATGTCATGTGATCGGAACATGTTCTACCCAATCAAAAGTAGACTTCTTGAAGGTAAAAAAAAAACAACAATTTGAGACGAGTGGCCGAGTGGTAAGGCAGGGGTGCCCCTAACTAAAGCCTTATTACATCGGTGCTGGTTCCAGCCGCTCCTCGCCCAGGGTTTGGTTGGTAGAACCAAGTCTTCTCGGATAAGGACTTAAAATCGAGGTCCAGTGTACACATCTGGCTCGTGTGCACTTTAAAACTACCCATTGCATTTTTTGGAAAAGTAGAGGGTTACCCCGATGCTATGGGTCATTTCAGCCCCTGTCGTTGTGGAATGATGTAAGAATGTAGCTACAATAAGTGCCTATTTACGGCTACTGGGTAGTCACAGACCGCACCCTCACGCAATTCGCCACAGTGACGCTGCAGAGTTATGGGTTATTCTCCTACCTTTACCTCCTGCCTTTGCTTTTACCATTTGAACATACAGTAAGAATTTTTTTAGAGCTGGAGTTACATAACTTGGTGGTTAAAGTGCTTATCTTTAAATCTCAGGGTCTTAGGTGCAACAGTAGTTGTTCACTATATTGTAATTTTTTTTTAAATATAATTTTTTTATTAATATAATGTAATACTTGTCTTTTCTATATTCTCTGATTAATAGCCTCTCGCATACACTATATTTTTGTAATAGTATATTTTTATAATAATTAATTAATGTATAGACTAAATAAATTACTTAATTGTAACCAATTGTAATTAATTGTAAACTAGACTTATTATTTGGTGAATTATTTATTTTATATTGAATGATAAATTTTTTTAATGTGTTTTCTAGATTTAAGTATTATTGTAAGATGATTTTCTGTTATTATTATATCATGTAACTGTATTGTATTGTTTAAATATGATTGATGGTAGGCGCTATGGGGTTAGCTTGCCGGCAAAGAGCGCTTTATAATTGTCACTTAATATTTTATATATCTAAAGAATAAACAATAAATTGACTATTTCTAAAGTAAACCCAGTAACTGATCATTGCAATCACTGTTGTAAAATATTTTGACATTTATATTGCCCACAAGTTCAACTTATCAATACTTTTCTTCAAATTGAATTGTGGGAGTGTTTCTCTTTTTGAAGACATTAATAATGTCTGCATCTTAAAATAGACCCCTTGGAATAGCAATAACTCCCCATCACCATCACACAGTCTTGCTGATTTATATTTGCAAGCCTGTATCATTCAGAGAATGCAATAAAATCGGTGCAGCAAACGATGGGTAATAAAAATATTTTGACTATGATTGGGATGGCAGCAGTACAGTTCCTAAACAACAGCCGAGGGGCTTTAGCCGTGAGCTGAGAAGTGTTTAGGTGGTGTCACCCTCACAAACGAGGAAAAAATATGAAAAATCATAACCCTATGCTCTTTGTTTCTTTTCTTATGTATAGTCTGCTTGCCTCTTTTACAATTACATCTGTTCCTTTGTGCTTGCTCATAATAATCTACTGTATTTTTTATTTTGTAGTCAATTGGATGCGACAGACCTATCAATTATACCGAAGAGAAACTTGCAGATGTTTTGAAGAAAGAATACCCGGTATGTTTGAGTAACAAAATAAATATAGACTGATGATAACACTCAAGATTAAAAAATATGTCATCATGTCAAAAAAGGCCTATGCGTTTCACGCTTTGCAACTATGCTACTGGGCGTCTTACGTTCTCTGCATACATAGATTTGGCCATATTGCATCCAATCCACAAGTGTGTTATTGACATCATTACATTTTATGTTCCACTGTTCCCTATTATCACCCTGGTCATTGGAATCCGACATAATATGAAACATGCTCTGCTCCCTGGAGAGAAATTCTCTAATCTTTCAGCTTGTAATCAGTGCATTCAACTGATGCAGAATTAATACTGCTTTACCTGTACGTTCCAGGGTAGGGAGAGACCACGTCCACTGGTAAAGTGTCTCATCCTCAGAAGACACAAGCAAAATGCACAGTGAGAGGTTTGTACCCTCAACAAATAATAAGGAAGCATGTGGTGACTTGGCAGTAAGGATTCAGGCCCTTGAATCAAGTTTTCAAGCCTTAGGCTGGCCACCATATGAAACCTGGATTCCATAAAATTGCCACACTGGCCATGAGGCAAAAGTCCCCGTTAGCAGAAATGGTCCATAGTGAGCTGTCTGATAGTTGAGAGTGAGCTGCCAAATGGTCCAGAGGGAGCTGTTAGCAGCTCCATAAACTTAACTTTAATTGGTTTTAAGAATGTCCATTGGAAGTTAACAAGAGAGTCCTGGCCAGCAACATATAGCCATTGGAATGTAAACAAGAAACCCATTACAATCACTCACTTCATCTCATGGGCTTCAGTGGCAATAAATAATTTAAGAACCCATCGCTATTTAACAAACCAGCAGGATTTATAACCCGGGTTTTTTCCAAAAGCCAGGTGCCATGGACCAGTTCTGTTAACGGCCAGAAATGCAGCATGGCACCACAGTGTTTTCACTGCAGTCGCTATACTTCGTAACTTTTCCAGATGCAAATAGGAAGGCTCTCCGATTTGACCATTCAGCATTGCCAGAAGCTGTTGATGATAACGTGCAGTGATTTTGTGGAAATTTATATTTGAATTGCTAATCTTAGTGGGATTAATTTAATTTTTTCACTCCATTAATTAAATATACATCATTTGAAGGAGATAGGGTAGGCAATAATTAATTTATTTCAATAATAAATATTTATTCACTCAGAAGCACTTCTCAGGGAGCAAAAGGGGTAGTTGTGCATTCTGCTTGTGACAGTGGTAATATTTGTCATAATTTTGGTTGTTGGTTTTATATCATGGTGTATCTTTTGCTTGTATTTTTAGGGAGGACTTGATGTTGTTTATGAATCAATTGGTGGTCCTACTTTTGAAACCTGTATCAAATCGTAAGTCATAATTTTAATAGTAAGATTGTGGAGTTGAATAGCTTAGTGGTGAAGATGCTTGACTTCTAATCCCAGGGTCCTGGGTTCAGTTCCTGTCACAGCAGACTTTTTCCCATGACTAAAAAAACAACTCCATTGACTCCCTAAGCCTTATAAAGAGACTTAGCTGATAAAAGCATCACATTATTTCATTTATGTAAGAGGGCCCATGAATATCAACCGACCTAGGGTGCGTTGGAAGGGTCACCCTCTATAGTTATGCAATAATAAATAAAAAAATAATTGAAATAATAGTAAAAATAATAATATCGAATAATAATAGTGGTAAATATGATAATTAGTCTACATCATGATGACATTTGACATGCCAAACTTGCATACTGTGTTTTATGTTTACAGGTCGCTATAACAAGTACCGAAATATTCATATTTAAGATAATATTAACAACATTATTTTCCCACATTATTGTTGTTTTTTCAGTATTTTGCCTTTTAATTTTAAGATAATATTAATTTATGTAACAGATTTGACTGCCTGTTGGCTTGCCTGACCAAATTATGAAAATACAAATAAGTTCTATAACATACAGTATGTATGGGCCTAGATGCACGTGGGACTGCTATAGTAACCAATTCTGGTCTCCCTCTTATTAAAGACCACTTTTGGGACTGGATTTTCCATGGTCTGTAGAAGCTTTGGTCTTAATTAGAATAATAAAGATAAAAGGCAGTTGTTAATTTTTGGGTCCAATTAAAGGTTTTCTTAGAATGGAAGTGGTCTTTAATTAGAGGGAGACCTTTATTTCAGCCCTCAGCTGGGACACAAGGAAAGTAGTGATGAAATCGGGACCCAATGATCTCAATGATTTCGCGCACACACAGTTCCTGTACCACCCATTAGCCGATCTACAAGCTGCTCTCTAAAAATAATTATACACTTTGTAGTAGTTACTTTCTGAAACTGATGATGTGTCTTTTCAGACTTGGGTTTAAGGGTCGATTAATTGTCATTGGTTACATTTCTGGTTATGAATCGGACCAAGGTTTTATCGCAAGTGTGCTCAATACTCTTCCACCTGTCTCTTATACACATCTAGATGTGTATAAGAGACAGCATCTGGCTCGTGTGCACTTTAGGTGTAATAAAATGCCTCTGACATGATTCAAGCCTACAACTTCTCCCTATATGTATATTTATTATATATATATTAGTATATATATTAGTATTAGTATATATATACATATATTGTATAATACATATATTTTATATGTATAATATGTATGTATTGTGAATGTTTACATGAAAATGTAAAAAGTGTTTTTGAACAGTGCTATGTCGTTTTTCTGTATAGTACAGTTTTCAGATGTGCTGTAACATAATTCATTTTTTAACAGTAAAAAATTTAACAGTTAAATGGGTATTCAGTATTTTATTTCCTTTTCAGTGTTTGTTATAATATGATAGATTTTCTACTTCAGATATCATAAATTACCTTAAAATGATAAACAATGATGCAATTAATTTAAAAAGTTAAACCATTTTTATGTCTGTAATTGCCTTTGATGATGGAATGATGATGCAATTCAATGTGTTTTGAATGCATTTCATACTGATTTTCCTAATAACCAAAGTTCAGTAACTGGCTATTACGATAAATGGAAGCTAGTTTACATTGTCGTTCTTTAATTCCTTGCAGCCATTACATTTATGTTGTCTAGATCAGCGTGAGTAAATAACGTCGTAAATATTAGATCAGCAGGATGTTAAGCTTATGTTTAGCACCTTTAATCTGCTCTTAATTGCATACTGTTAGTGCAAGCATAACAATAATAAATATCTTTTGATTTTCTTGTACATTCAAGTTTTGGCTTACATTGTTTTTCTGTTTAACTTCCTCTCTTGAACAACCTAAAAAGCATTTTAGCAATGTTGTTTATTTGTTAAATTTAATTTCATTCCATTGTTGTTTCATTGTTTAAAAAAAACAATATTTTAGTGCTTTCTAGTTCCTGGATTGTATTATATATGTTAAATATTCTTATGGTTAAACAGAGGTTGATGTACTAATTACAGAATGTTTTGAATTTGTGGTCGATAACCTAAACTCACATCAATCGTTGTGGCACAGATATTCTGTGTTAGTGCCTCGTATGTTATGTGTCTGCCATAAATGATTGAATAAGCACCTTTCTTGAAAAAGTACCGCTGCACTGAAACAGGGTTTTTATGATTGCTAAGCGCTGCTCTCAATTTATATCCATGGCGCTTTGAGATACTCTATTTTGAATAAGTATGGTGGCATTTAATTGAGAGTTCATTATTTCCAAAAGCGTCACTGCTTTTTTTGTACCACGGGAACACTATGAAACAATTAATTTCTTACGAACTAAACAGGGCTTGTGATTGGAGGTAATCAATTGCACTCCTCTACCAGGGGTGCGAAAGATATAACACCTTGGATTAGAAAATCACTCAACTTAAATCTAGTATAAGTAAAACCCCATACCATGGCAATTCTTTCTGCCAGGATTGTTTTTGTGTTGCTTTGAACATTAAACACCACATTTATGGCTGCAGTAATTTAACATACTAACTATTCCACAGAAGCTTAAATTTTTTCCTCCCTCAAACAGGATTGGATATCATATTTTTGTGCTTGTGATTCATTTTGTCATGAATTAGTGTTTTTTGTATGAATCTGATAAGTCATTTGTAATTTTGGTAATTTTAATTATTAAGTAGTAATCCTTTTGATAATTGTAATTCAGTTTGTTAAAATTTTAATTCTTTCAATTTGAATTTAATTTTTTTAATGTATGTACAAATCATTACAATTCAGCCTTGTGCTGCAAATTTGATTTTAATAAAATTTGAACTTGCACTTGATGTGTAGAAAACTAAGAGTGGGTGTGTGTTTTTTAAGCTCACCTACAATTTTCAAATAACCCTGACTAAATACTATCAAATAAGCATATTAATATTTATTACATATGTTACTATTTTATAAGATAGGGTAACTTGAGAAATGCCTATCAAATATTATTTTGTAGACTTGTCCTTTAATTATGCAGCTCTCTTATAAACAAATACTGAACTGACCACAGCTCTTAGCTGTTCATGATAAACAAATTTCTGCATATTTTGTATGTTGGTCCTTGCCGAGCCACACAGCTCATATACTGTAGGCTTGAGCTAATCCCCAGTTTCCAGTAGCGTGAAGCGGATGATAATGTGATGCTCTCCTACTGTAGGTAGGATGCTGGTCCACCACAGGTTACTACCAGCAATTTGCTTGTTAACCATTGGTATAGCTGGGTAGATAACAGCGCCTTGCTCAAGGACTGAGTGAAATTCACAGTGTAAGATGAAACCCTGACCTCCAATTTTACTGTGCCAAATTACCTTCACATTTTATATATAGACCAATAAAAGTTCTTCAATTTTGATAAACATGGAGGAGGCAAATGTACAAGGAAGATCAGATCAATTTTGTTATCTATAAGCTGCATTGGAACCTTGGCCTTCATTGAGTATAGTATTCAAATATCCAAAACTTTGATTTAATTAAAGTACACTGCTCTGAAATTCAAACTGAAAAGCAATTGACTGAATAATCAATCATTCAGAATTTTCATGATTGAAAATTATAGTATCCTACCTATATACCATATTTATTCAAATAAAAGCCCCCGGTGTGTTTATTGTTGAAATGGGTTTTCAGGGAAACGTTTATTCGAGGGAGGCGTTAATTTTTTTAGTGTAAAATGGATACGTAATACCCAAATATACGCCCCTTAATTCCACTGTAAATGTGGAACTGCAATACATACTGTATTTACTGTCAAAATGTATTATTGATCAGAAAGACCTAGTGATTTTAACCAGGTTAGAAAAAAATGTAATTCTATTTGAGTAAAACATTAATAGAATGTTGCTTCAATTAGATTTGTCATAGGGAGGCGTTCATTCCAGATGAGGTTCTACATGGACATTTATTGGAGGGGGGTAGGGAGTTTTTTTAAAGCAGGAGGATTATTTGCATAAATACGGTATATACTGTATACTAATAAAATAAATTTCATAGTTTATTCACTATGAAGCATACATATTGCCAATGTCGTAGTGCCACTGATGGTGCTTTATGAATGTTTATTTGATTCCTCAATGGTTGTTAAGCAATAAATGATTTATGAAATTGCAATGATATTGCCCATATGTTTGGACATTTAGCATATGCAACTTGTTGTGGCTACTGAAAGTAGATACTATGTCATCAAATTTTTTCCTAGTTTACCATACATAACGGACTTGTAGCAGTCTGGCTTAATTATAAACTAATACTTTAGGCCAGGGTGTGATTTATACAGAATCTCAGAATATTCAAGGATGGCATTCCAAGGAGAGGAGAGTCTATTCATGAGATAGGCCTAGCCTACTAAGGCTAGGTAGCCCTATTACTGATGTGTAATATTATAGCTAGTGCTGTACTACGAGGGAGTTATTGGTTCTACTACGCCCAGCTAGCAAAGCGACGTTGGCCCAACGTTCAGTCTGACTACGGATGTTGGTACAACGTCACGATTTGTTACTGGCCTGACGTCGGCAAACTACTAAAAAGATGGTTGGGTACTACCGTTGGCCCAACGTTGGCTAGAGGTTGTAAATATTAGGTATGATTGTAGACGTTGTCTCAAAGTCACAGTACGTTGTTGGCCTGACGTCGTTAAACGTTTGAAATGGTGGTTGGTTAAAACCATTGGCCTGACGTTGGTTAGAGGTCGTAAATATTAGGATATGATGACAGACATTGTCGCAAAGTCAGAGTATTTTATTTGTTGGCCCGACGTCGGTAAACGTTAGTGAAGGTTAGTTACAACCGTTGGGCCGACGTTGGTTAGAGGTTGTAAATATTAGATGTAATTAAAGACGTTGTCACAACGTCATAGTACTTTGTTGGCCTGACGTCGGTAAACGCTTGAAATAGACGTTGGTTACCACCGTTGGGACGACGTTGGCCAGAGCTTGTAAATATTGACGTCGCGAAATAACCACAAACAACAACGTGTCATGTCAAATCCTAGGCCGTCATGGAAGCTCACTGGCTCCTGTGTAATTCATGTTGAGCCAACTGCAGACGGAAAGGTTACAATCTTTTCAGAGATAAGCTGGAAGAAAGTTTTAGAGAGTGCCCATCAATGGAAGGATTTTAATACTGAGGAATGGAAGTTAGCGAAGTCCTTGGCCTGCTTACCCGTTTTTCTTTGATCGTCGCTTCCAACCGTCTAGGCGCGTTTAGCCTAAAGAGGGCCTACATAGCAGGTCGAGATCCATGAAAAGTCGATATTTGCACAAGTAATTAAAATTGTTTATTGAGCAGATTAATCACACTGATAAACAATTGTACTACATTCGGCTGATGGTTATACATAAAAAGTTAAAATAAATAAACATGTTGTAGCTAGGTAAGTAGTAGGACTATTGCTAATGAAACTATAGGGCCGCCTAGGCTAGTTAGGTAAACATATCTGACTAAACGACCTATAGTGTATCTAGGCATAGTTAGGCTTAGGCCTATGCCCTACTACTACTACATTTTACAGTTCAGTTAATAAAATTTCTAGCAAGTGGGGACTCTTGAATCAGCCTGCAGCATGTGATAGTTACCTATGATCAGGTCTAGTGTTATGAATATGCATTTTTCATTAGTCGTTATACATGTTAAAAATTATTAGTGTTAATACTGGTAATAATAAATATAAATATACAATAAATATATGGCAACAATATAAATATATAACAACAAAATATATATGAATAAATTATGTAATTTTTATATATGTAATATTTATGCTATTAACTACAGTATATTAAATAATATTAATGCATTCTATACATTCTATACAAATTAATAAACAATATAAATAAAATATAAACAAATGTAAATACTTACATACATACATACATATAAAAAAATAATAATATAATATAATATATAATATTTTAGTAACATAACATGTTAATGAACTGAAAAATATGGCAAAAAAAAAAAAAAAAAAAAAAAAAGACATGGGAAGCCTACATTCATATTGTATCTCCAGTTATAAACAAACACAACTCAGTACTTCAAATTACAATTACAAACCACTGCGGATAATTTTCAAGAAACTGTTTGTTCTGCTTCATATTTTATTCTTATAAAATCAAAAAGAAGAGATACCATTCCAAATTTAGGAATTTATCAACCCAAAACATTCTTTGAATTCGAGTGTAAGCAACACTCAACTCGTAACCATAAAAGCTAAGGTTATACAGCTTTCGGGAACCAAAAAAAAAAAGTTCAAGAAATGGGCTAAAAATATTACACAATGTATGCTGATTGATCTATCGTGTTCAGTACAGACAACTATTTGGGAAATTTTCATTCACAAAATTAAACATCCAGATTGCAGGAAAAAATGTTTGAAATGTTCAATAAGATGTCAATTTGCAAGTGATAAGAAGTTTTTAAAAATATGTTTTCTGTAATAAACCGACTTATAACTAAAATAAAAGCCTTTATTGCTATCTTGTTACAAAATCGTGGATTCAGATTATATAGTTTTTAATTACCCTAATTGCTCAAAAAAGGACCGCGTCGTGGCTCTTATTATTACCTTTTGTGTAACTAAAGAATTTGGGTTTTAAATACAATGTATACAGTGTTAAGATGAATAAATAACACAATGAATACATAAGTATTTCTTTTTTTTTTTTATAAAGTGTTAATTTACTATGACATTGGACCTATGATAGGCCTACTGTACTAGAGGAATGTGAGATATGTAACATGGGAACGTGCATGAAAAGCGCCACACCAGTATTTCTTATTATGAGCTCAGTAGCCACATGTACCTTTTAGGTACCTATTTTTACTTGTTGCTTGTATAGTGCTTTTCCTAGTTATGAACTTTTGTAAGTTTTTTCCATGGTCATTGGTTCCACATGTTTTAAGTGTTGCTGCCATGCTGACGCAGTAGCAAGCAACCCCACCATGTACCCATTTATACTCGTTGGTGGAGAAGAGCAGTGGAGATAAAGTGCCTTTGCTCAAGGACACAAGCGGAATGCACAGCGAGGGATTGAAACTCCGGCCTCGAGGTTGGAAAACCAAAACCCGCTGCGCCAAACCGCTTCTACTAGATGATTTATTGGAACTCATCATCATCAAGTGATCTGCCGATTGGCAGGTTCATGGCAACCACTCCTGCCTATTCTCCCGATCTATAGCCGCTATCTTTAACTGCTCATATGTGCTTCCCTCATTTATGTTATCCAGGAAACATTGGCGGATCTGATGGGGGGGGGGGGGTGGTGTGAGACAGGTACTCACATAATAGGGCTATTTATTGTAATAAGAATGGGAAAAATTTAAAAAAAAAAAATTTAAAGCTCATTTCCCGCCATCTAGAAATCAAGATTTTTCCGGGGGAACCTGAACCCCCTTTCTTTTTGGGGTTCATCAATTCATGGAATTGATTTCAAGAGGGGGAAGCCTTGAATTGTGAAGAACTTAAAAGTCATTGAAAGACACATCAGAACTGGAAAAGCTCATTTCCCGTCATATAGAAATCAAAATTTATCTGGGGAGGACCTCCGATCTATCTGCGTTTATTTTGGGGATTTTTTGGGAAATATTTTGACCCCCCCCCCCCCCCCCCCCCCCCCTCATCAAGACAAATCGTTTTTTAACGATCATTACCATTGGTTGTTATTACTTTTTTTTGTTCTTTGTAACTTATAGAAAAGGTCAGATAGTTTAACAAACCTATCAATTGTTCAGCTTATTAATCACATGCTTTTTTTAAAAACCATATTTTAAAGTTTGTTATTTCTCCTTCCTGCTATTTTTAAAAACCATATTTTAAAATTTGTTATTTCATTTTCCAGCTTCTGTCTAAGTCTGCAAGCGTCTGTGGTTTCCTGCTGTTCCATTATGCTAATAGATATTCGGAATCTTTCAAACGGTTGATATCCATGTACGAAGATGGGAAACTCAAGGCCGCAATTGATAACGGAAAAAACAATCCATCAGGCCGATTTGTTGGTGTTGCGTCAGTGGTGGACGCTGTGAAGGTGAGTCTGCATGGTACAATCCATGAATTTTAAAATGGGGGCACATGTAGTGGTGGTGCCAGTGGGGGTTCCAGGGGAACAGGAGCAAGTTGGGGAACCGTGGACCTCCCTGTCCAGTAAAAAGCCAATTATTTTGCTGGAGGAATGCTGTGTCCAAGCATTTAGAGGTGCCTGTTTTCGAAAATTTATATCAAATATGGTGGGGCTATAGTAATTATGGACCACAATTGGGGGCACTTGATCCTCCCATCGTGGATCCTGTAAACTGTGTCATTGACCTTTGACCTCTCAGGTAACTTCTAGGGCTGTCAGTACATCAAAAGACAATCTGCTATTTTCTGAAGAGAGTACTGTACTACATTCTTAGACAGGACATTAACCTCTGAGTACATGTAAAAGTATACACACGGAAGGCATTTTCATGGAATGAACAGTGGCGTAACATCCATTCCAATAAGGCCTCGAAGGGAGCCACAATGCAACTCCTACTAATACAAGAATTCTACTACAGAGCTCTTACATTAGCTTAGTAGAAAGAGACCTAAAACTAAGCAAATTGAAGAATGTAATTCCCGGTTTTAATCTTTTCTGAGAGATCTGGTTATAAATAAGCTTTCTTTAACATACTTAATTACAATTACAATTAGGCCTATTGTATGTAATAACATACAATTAGTATGAATTTGCGGAAGATTTTTGCTTGCTTACAGGAGTGCAGGAGGCCGTTTTAATTTCCAGGAGACTACCACAACTTCCGGGAGACTTGGGACCAATGGTTTTAACTCACAAATAATTGATTTTATCATGTTTTTAATGTTGGAGCTTCAATACGAGACCAACTTGATTAAGCTTGCCTTATAAAATATAATTGTAGGCCAAATTGATGAATGCATCACGATGTAAGCATGTACTATGCAAAAAGATTTTCTAATTTGTCTCTCAAAATATAAGTTGCTTCTGGTTTAAGTGACCCACAAGTGGTCTTTTTAGTCTGAATCCAGTATTCATGCATGGGATTCACCCACCAGGCAAATTGCATTGAGGCCCCAACACTTTCTAGGCCCAACACTTTCTAGGCCCCAACACTTTCTTTCCCCTCGGCCCTGACAGGTTGTTATGCCACTGGAAAGGAAACCAGTTAAACAAAGAACTTCATGGTCCAGTGCTCACAAAGTGGTTATCACTAACTGCAATATTCTGTACTGAAAGTTGAAAGTTGAAAGTTTAAGATCTAAAGTGCTGTCCAGACTATAAAATTTTATTTGACAAAAACCTGTGACATGCCTAAATATGGTCATGATGACATCACATGTGACCATATATAGGTACTACATCATGACTATATATGTGGCAAAGACCAGCAAAACCAGTCATTCCTTGTAAATTGTGTTTCAGAGATAATGGCCAAAACATGTTGGAATGTCAAACTTTTCGAAATATATTTTATTGCACTAAACTAAACTTTATATATCTATAATACATCATGCATCTTTGTTATTTTCCCCATTTTCTGCCTGAGAAATTGCTAAAATCGTAAATTTTGAAGACTGATTTCTCAAATACTGTTCTTTAAACAGTTGCATGTTTAAACTCCTGTAACTTCATAACAAAATGTTGGATTTAAATTATTCTTTTTACCAATTCATATCTCTCATTTTACTATTTAATCCTGTATTATTAACTAAATATCAATTAATTTTTAGCGAGAACTGACTGGTGTGGCTTGCCTTTGCCACATTTAGGCATACAACAGTTTTTTTTGTCAAAGAATTTTGTAATCTGGACAGAGGGCTTAAATTGTAATTGTAAAAGAAAATTTGCAATTTCATAGTCTAAACGGGAATAATTATTATGATTAATTTAATTTAATGCATTATACTGAATCCTCTAAGAGTTTTGGATTAAAACTCAAATTAAAGTATGATACTGTACTAAACATTCATTATACATGTATCTAAAAATAAATTTATGGTTTTGTCTTTCAGTATATGTATACTAAGAAGAGTGAGGGCAAGATTGTTGTTGAATTAAATCCAGAGGAGACTAGTAAACTGTAAAATGTTAAACAGTACTGTTTGACCCCTTGACGTATCTAAAGGAAAACCAATGAAGATATATTAAAAAAAATATTATACAGTAGCCTTGAGGTTTTACCATAGGCTTTTATATAATTTCAGTTTTTAAAAAAATCATGTATTTGTAAAATTATTCTACAGAAATAAATGATTAAATATATACAGCATAGAAGTCACTTATAATTGTCCACCATTTTGTATTGCATTATGGAGGTTCCAGAAAAACGTATTATTATATCATGATCTAAAACTGTGATTTTAAAACTAAAAAAAGTAATATTAGTGTAGAGTAGCAGTTGTTGAAGGTGTGTTCGGCTTGATAGCATCTTGTACTAGAAGCTGTTGTCAAAGTATAGAGGTGATGATATTGAGATGATATAGTTAGTGTGGGAGAGGGATGGCAGAAAGATATAGAAATGTTTGGTTTTTCTCTTTTTTTTCAAGCTTTTATAAAGCTTTGTTTAATAATACTACTACTAGTAGTAGTAATGATGATAATAATGATGATGACGATGATCATGATAATGATAATAGACAACAGGGGCGGATCCAGAATTTTTTAAACGGGGGAGGTGAGTATACAACAGTTTCAGAATAGGTAAGTGAGTAGCACATAAAATTGACTTGCATTGAAATTTTTAAAACTTAGTAGCAAAACGGTGGGGGAACTTTGACCCCCGTGCCCCTCTCTGGATCCGCCCCTGGATAATAATAATAATGTAAAAAGTGATGATAATTGTGATAAAGGCGAAAAAGAAAGTTGTGATTTGTTGATCATAATTACAGTGATGGCGGCAGGACCTGCCCAACGGAGGGGCTAGTGGAGCGGATCGAGTCTCACTTGGGTGGGGGGGGGCCAGGTGGCTGCCTAGGGGCCCCGGTGGGTGTCCAGGGGGCGAAGCCCCTGGAAGCCACGGATATTTGATGAATTATGGCGAATTTTTAATACTTATTTGATAGATTGAGTTACATAATATGACTTCATGTAGGCTATGCTTTCTAATGTTGAATTCAGCTTCCAAAACCAAAACATTTTGAATGAAACAAGAAACAAAGAGTATGCAATGTAACCATCTAATTAAGTGAAATTCTATATTTTGGAAATTTTGCATGAAATCTGTTAACCACGCTTTCATGGTCGAGGTTGCTTCACCTATTACGATGTATTCCATCCATCATGAGCATTTGTCATAACAGAAAGCAAATTATTTTCAATTAGTCTCATTAAATTATTATTATTTAATATTAATATTATTATTGTTATTGTTGTTGTTCTGATGAAAAGTTAACACAAACAATATGGTGGCTAATTTATCGTCTACCCCGACGGGAGGGGCTATGCTTCCCCGACGGGGGAGGGGGGTGGGCCTCTCAGCCGATACCTCGCACAACGTCTCGTATCTATTGTCGTGACGTCATGGCTCGCTGGCTCACACCAACTTAACCTCCTTGCTCACACACTTGCGATGTATCGCACTTGTGAACAAATAACACGCTGGCTCGCACTTTGGCAACACTCTTTGGCAGTCAACTCGCCCCTAGAAAACCCGCCCTTGGAAACTTGCCCCATCAAAAAATGTACACTTCCTAGACCATGCAGTCTTCAAAATAAAAATTGTAACCTTTGGTAAAACTACATTTTCCACATACATAGAAATTTTTGAAACTTTATTTAAAAAAAAACCTAAACCATAATTCACCACTATAGACACTTTTTGACAAAAATGAAAAATTACGACTTTGTTACCCAATGAGAAGTGTTCTAAAATAGACAATGGGTCGTGTCTCATATTATTTGTTATATTTTTATTATTCATTATTTTCACTTGACTCGCATAAATAATTTTGTTCGAAGAACATTTACATTACGACAATATTTTGCAAGCAGTGCAATTTTATTCTCTGAATTCGACCTCAAGGTAGCTTCCTCATGGGCTAACGGTACACTGTGGGTGATCAGTCAAGCGCGTAACGGCTTTGGAACAGTTCATTTGTAATTTAGGGGGTTCCACAACTACAAATTAAACGCCATAACATTTTCATATGGACTTTCAATTTTTATTCTAAACAACATACATAATTATCTAAATACCATTCACAGTTTTATTTTTACCCTCAAAAGAAGACATATTCTACCCTGCTTTACAGTCTTCACCACTCACATGTACGTAGTCATGTACACATAAGAAAATAGAATCGACCATCTCAAACCAGTGAACCGCTCGAAAAAATGGGGTGTTTTACAAAAACTGACATTTATATACTGCAGGTACTAAAAATCTATACGTTTTTACTGCATATAATTTACATCATTTGAATCTCTATCCTTTTTTTTGCCTATGATAATAATTTTAGTGTTTAAAAATAAGGATAATTTAGTCATTTTATCTGTTTTTCCAGAGTATATTTCAAGCTCTGCATCCACATGAGCGTCAGACTGCCATATGCTTGTAATGCTTAAGCATATGGTGGGGAGTTTCGGATGATTCTCATAAATCTGATTGGTCCGATAAAACTACTCAACCGATCAATCTTATATTTAGAATACATTTAGAAGACAAAAAGGGCTTTCGAATGGACTTTTCCCAAAAGAAATCGGCCCACAACTTTCGACTGTAGAGGGATTTATGTTAAAGACAGCTGGGATATTTCGGCAGTTTTCACTGTTTTTACGCTGAAAAAATACACGAGTAGGTTTGATAAAAATCAAAAGTCCGATAAAGGTGTTAACATTACACTTATAAATTTGTAATTGTTGTAATGATTATTAAATTGCGATCAGTTTTATCTTTTCCCAAAAAAAAATCGATGGAGTATTTGCGAAGTTATTACAAAAAGAAGTTAAAAAATGACCAAATTTAGTGGTTTTTGGCGACCTTCACTGCCGTTTTATCGAATTTAGACACGAAATATTGTCGTAATGCAGTTGTACTTCGCAGCAATTCACTTGCAATTTGCAATTTCTAGTAGTATGGATAAAGCTTGATAAGCTGTAGTTAGGCCTAAGTTGTCCTGGATATTAAGTATATCCCAATAAAAGATCATGAGAAATTTGTTGGCGCTTCATTTTGATTACCCGTACTCGTGCGAATAAGTGCCCCGTTTGAATAAACACCCCTCAATAATCCAATCAATCCTGGGACTGTGGATGTTGGCATGATTTGAGGTGTGGAGTGGAATCACATTCCCCTTTAGTCAATATCAAAATGAGGATATTTATCTTGGACAGATGAGAGCTCCCTGGACAGACAGTACATTTCCAAATGAATATATAGGCCTATATATAGCCTAGTCTAGTGCTACTCTTTTTCCGACAATTTGCACCTTTAACACATTCTCGTCGTGGTTTTCAAGAAAACATGCAATGATCATGCCGTCCTGCTAATATCAATCGCCCGATGGCCAACAAGTAACCACCACTACTAATTTCATCTCCTATTCATCTGCTGTTATGTAATACTGTACTCATAACATTCTTTTCATGACAAGCCATGCTCTCTGAACGATTATCTTTTCCGCCGCACCACCATTCGTAATTTTCGGTTTCCTGATGTCCTTTATAATCGTTTTTCATTCAAAATGTGCCTCTTGAATTTAATAAGTTCTCATAAGAACCCCTCGATTTTCATCTATTTCCATAAGTGCCCCCTCAATTTCCACTCTGTTTTCATAAGCGCCCCGTTCGAATAAGCGGCCCGTTTGAATAAGCGCCCTTTAAAAAATGCAAAAAATATTTTAAACGCCCGGGCGCTTATTGGGCGCTTATTCGCGCGAGTACGGTATAGGTGATGTGTTGACAGTGCTACATCTGTCTCTTATACACATCTAGATGTGTATAAGAGACAGCTTCAAAATAAAAATTGTAACCTTTGGTAATCAACTACATTTTCCACATACATAGAAATTTTTTAAACTTTATTAAAAAAAACCTAAACCATAATTCACCACTATAGACACCATTTGACAAAAATGAAAAATTACGACTTTGTTACCCAATGAGAA